TGACAACCTTGAGCACATTGCATCTGAAAAAAAGCCTATTCCATGCATTCAGTGACTTCACATACTGCAGAAAAAGAAAGAGTATGCTAGCTATTGCACACACAGACTCTGTTTCAGATGAATAGAGCCAATAATCTGAATTAAATCTCTTTTCCACCTGCAGACATGAGTTCAAGGAGACCCAAGAGCAAAGAGGCCCGTAAAATCAAGGGAAAAGGTCCAAATAAGCTTTAATCCTAATGTAACATTAAACCAACGCTCAGTATCCAAAGCATCTTGCCGGTTTCTAATGCCTTACATTTTTCTGCAGATAAAAAAAAGGAGAATAATGTTCCCACCGCAGATGAAGGTGCATCAGAACCTGGTAAGTGTCTCATATTGCTCCTATAAGGGTCGTATTTAGCCTTTGTTTGTTTGTAGTGTCTTATTTTATTGACCACCTACAATGTCAATTGGGGTCTTTTGTACCACAATCGGTCATAATCAGATTCTCAGACCTGTTTAGAGCATCTCTGAGCTGTTTCCAGCATGAATACACTCGTTCTTTTCCATTCATCCAGGAGCTGTGATCAGATTAAAGATACTGAGATGCAAACGCCATGTCTGGAGGCACGTAGCCAGACCTCCTTTCTCTCGTCCAGTCCAGTTTCCCTACGTGTCCTACTCATACAACATGCATACTTTTTAGTAGACTGGACTTGTTACCACAGCATACAAATGCATCTTGATACCCTTTTGTGTTTGCATTGGGATAAAATCATTACCTGACCCCTTCTGGCCAGAACAAGCTACTGCATCATAACAAACTGCTTCCATCAGTGAAGTTAGGGCCCTAAACCCTCAGAGAAGTCTAACAGGGCTTGTTCAATATCCCAGACAGCATCCTTTTCATGCTTTCTAAAGAGCACGTGTGTTCGGTTAGTAGAGAAAGTGCAATTATGTAATTATACGGGCTATAAAACCATATGAGTTTCCATTGCAGTAAAGCGCCAGCGGCTCCTCTGGATTAAGTGACCTGAATGCTGTCGCTTGCATCAGATGTTAACGGCTACAACATGCTCAGCTGGTTCCTGTTGAGAGAGATTGTGTTGATGAGGTCTGGATTTCCCTCAGGTGTCCAAACCTGTGATGTCACACACACACAAAATATAACATGTGAATAGATATAGTTGACCCAAAAAAGTTCACACTGCTCATTTTGTCCTTGTTGTATTTTGACAGCCCCAGTCACCATTCGTTAGCATTGTATGCTGTGTGCCGGGTCTCACGTCCATTGGTAGTCTTTCAGGTTCAGTTACGTCACAGATAGCGCTCTGAAGGGAAGCTGATATCTCTGTTTGTATAACACACTCATTCAAGAGCACATCTGTCGGTAAAACACTGGACAAAACGGCTGAGAGCTTTTGGTCGTGTCATACCTGTAAGACAAAAAGGGTGAAAACCCTCAATGCGGGATACTGGAAATGTTCCAAATCATTTTAGGATACAGTGCTTAACCTCCCAATCATGTATTTGTAACTTAGCCTTTAAAACAAAGAAGTCTCAAATGAGATCACTTTAATATCAGTGCTGAGATTAAACAAAGAGCAACTGGAGAATTTCGTTGAGTCTCCACACCAAGTAGCCACACACAGCACTCTAGCAACTGCATAGAAACCCCTGGCAACCACCCAAAACACTCTAGCAAGTGCATAACAACCCCCTGTCAACAAACCACAACATTCTAGTAACTCCATAGCAACCACCTGCCAACCACCCACAGCACTCTAACGACTGCACAGCAACCCTCTGGTAACCACAACACTTTAGCAGCTACACAGAAATCCCCTGACAACCACCCACAACACTCTAGCAAATGCATAGCAACTCCCTGGCAACCACCCACAACATTCTAGGAACTGCATAGCACCCCCCTAGCAACAACCTACAACACTCTAGCAAATGCATAGCAACTCCCTGGCAACCACCCACAACATTCTAGGAACTGCATAGCACCCCCCTAGCAACAACCTACAACAATCTAGCAACTGCATAGCAACTCCCTGGCAACCACCCACAAAATTCTAGTAACTACATACAAAGTCCCTTTCAAGGAAAGTCCGTTCACTCGGCCGCCATATTTGCAACGCCTCCGGGCAGCTCAAACAAGTCCTATCTAAATGAATGGGGGAATCCTGAAATCTCAAAAACTGCTCGCTGAACTCGCGATTAAATTACATATTTCAAATCAGCAACAAAACACCCACAACACAACACTGCATAGCAACCCCTGGATAACCACTTATAACACTCTAGCAACAGCATAGAAACTCCCTCTCAACCAAACACAACATTCTAGCAACTGCGTAGCAACACTCTGGCAACCACCCAAATTGTATATTCATTATTATATACCTGATCACAGTGACTCCACCCCTCACAGATCATCCCGACTACATCTTCCCACTGGTCCTGACCTCTGCCACACAGGAGCTGTTTGGTTGCCGGGCAGATGAGGATTTAACCGGAGAAAATCCTTACAAGCTGCTGAAAAAAGAAGACATCATACAGGACATGAAAACCAGAGCGTCCGTGTCTGACTTCAGCCCCATCAAACAATTAGTGCTGGTAAGACTCAGAAACACATTCTGAACCGATTCTTGAGCTGAAGAAGATCCAAACCTCGGCAGATGGAGCTGGTTTAGAGTAGCCTAGTGGTTAAAGATCTGGTTCAGAATGTTGAGACCCTGAAAGGAATTCTATTCATTTTCTGCAGGACTACCCTGAAGATGAACTTCTGCTGGTGTTCGACAGAGACTTCATATACGGACAGAGCTTCTATCTGGTGCTCACAGTAGAGGCCAAAGAAAATATACTGAAGGTGAGAAAACAGGACAGACGGCGGGATAGATAGATAGATAGACAGATAGATAGATAGATAGATAGATAGATAGACAGACAGATAGATAGACAGACGGATGGATAGAAAGATAGATATATAGATAGACAGACAGATGGATATACGGATGGATAGATAGATAGATAGATAGATAGATAGATAGATAGATAGATAGATAGATAGATAGATAGATAGACGGATGGATAGATAGATAGATAGACGGATGGATAGATAGACAGATAGATAGATAGACAGACAGATAGATGATAAATAGATAGATAGATAGATAGATAGACGGATGGATAGATAGATAGACAGACAGATGGATAGACGGATGGATAGATAGACAGATAGATAGATAGACAGACAGACAGATAGATGATAAATAGACAGACAGACAGATAGATGATAAATAGATAGATGGATGGATGGATAGACAGATGGATAGATAGATAGACAGACAGACAGACAGACAGACGGATAGATGATAAATAGACAGATAGATAGACAGACAGACAGACAGATGATAAATAGACAGATAGATAGATAGACAGACAGACAGACAGATAGATGATAAATAGATAGATGGATGGATGGATAGACAGATGGATAGATAGATAGACAGACAGACAGACAGACGGATAGATGATAAATAGACAGATAGATAGACAGACAGACAGACAGATAGATAGATAGACGGATGGATAGACAGACAGACAGATGGATAGATGATTAATAGACAGACAGACAGACAGACGGATAGATGATAAATAGATGGATGGATGGATGGATGGATAGACAGATGGATAGATAGATAGACAGACAGACAGACAGATAGATAGATAGACGGATGGATAGACAGACAGACAGACGGATAGATGATAAATAGATGGATGGATGGATGGATGGATGGATAGACAGATGGATTGATAGATAGACAGACAGACAGACAGACAGACAGACAGATAGATAGATAGATAGATAGATAGATAGATAGATAGATAGATAGACAGACAGACGGATAGATGATAAATAGACAGACAGACAGATAGATAGATAGATAGACAGACAGACGGATAGATAGATAGATAGATAGATAGATAGATAGATAGATAGATAGATAGATAGATAGATAGATAGATAGATAGATAGATAGATATGAATAATAGGTATAGGTAGGTGTAGATAAGTATGAATAATTTTGGTCCCAAATTTGATCAATTTTACTGGTAGTCCACTGTATGAAGAATTTTTGGGTATAATATGTCACAGTTTACTTTATTTTGCTATCCTCACTTACATAAGTGAACTATAGTGTCCTGCACCAACTAGTAAAAAATATATAAAAAATTATATCTGGTGTCTGAAAATTTTTGGTTTGACTGCTGATAGATAGACAGATAGATGTTAACCAGTGTTCAGTTGTGTTTGTAGCCTTCAGTACAGGGTGATGATGAAGAGCAGATAAAGCATGAAGAGGAGGAGGAGGAGGAGATGATCATACCAAAAACTCCAGAGTCTCACCCATGGATCTCTCTGGGGAGCGAGCAGGAGATCGAGGAAGAGTCGGTCACAGAGTCCAGACCCAGAGTAAGACAGATGCATCATGGGATATTTATCAAAGCCATTCCTGATCTCATTTATGGGGCATTACAGTAGCTCACCTGTCTGTCTCTCTGTCCAGCTCAGGTATAAGATCTCTCCTCTGCTGCGGCGCTGTGGCGCTCCGGTGTGTTTCTCCGACCGCAGCGCTCTGGACGGGAAGGAGGGATTCGTGGAGTGCCCGTCATACCAGGACAAGAGCTTCAGCATCAGAGAGATGGAGAGACACACGGCCATTCAGGCCTCCAGCGACACCAAACACTCATCCACTCAGACACTGTGGTACAAACACCTCTCAACTCTCTCTGAAGTTTGTTCTGAAAGTTCAGTTAGCAGATGGAACATATTTATATCCCATGATGCATGCATTACAGGAAGTACCCAAGGAACATGTGGACCCAGTACGAGTCCCGAGAGTTCGGCCCGGAGGAGAAAGAAAATCACCTGCGATCAGAAAACCTGAAGAACTTCATCACATCTGTACTGATAAGGTAGGACGAGGAGAACGTGACGTCTCTGAGGTCCCACAACTCACTTCATTAGTCCAACGCAATCGCTTTGTTACTACGTTAGCACGGTATTGTGTGTTAATGTATTCTGAACTCACCTGATGTCCCGCAGGTTTGAAATCTCCCTGCAGCAGAATCACATCACTGATGTTTTCTGTGACGACTGGACGGCGCTGTGTGAGGAGGACGGCGCGCTAACGGGGAAAACCGAGACGCAGCTGAAGGAATATCAGTCCTTCATGGACCTTCACTTCAGCAAAGAGAAAACCATCAGCCACATCCACTGGCATCCCACCATCAGCGGTCAGCACGAGCTACACTGTGGACAAATTAGGATTAATATGTCATTTTAGTAAAAGTAAATAAGTATGCAATCATAAATACGTTTAATAAATAATTAAATAATAATAAAAAAAATTGCCTTAGTACAAAATAAAATAATTAAAATGCAAAATAATATAAAACATCCATATCTACGGAGATGGCATGCAAGAAAAAATAAATAAATCGTGCGCACCATTTACGAATTAATTCTCTCGATTTATAAATCATGCACACGATTTAGCCTACAATTTTTTTCCTGCATGCCATGTGCGGGGCTCCGTACATAACAAAAAAAACAGCCATAATGCAAAAACAAACAACAAAAAAATCCATAGTGCTATATAAAATTAAATAATTAAAATGTAATTAAATAAAATAGCCATATTGCAAAAAATATATAATAAAATATCTATAGCGCAAAATAAATTAAAACAGCCATTGTGCAAAAAAAAAAAAAAATGTATACAGTATATATAAAACAACATATATATGCAACATTTAAAAAATGGAGCAAAATTCAATAATATAGCCTTTGTGTTAAATAAAATTAAATATCTATACTATCTATATGAATATAAATATTATTATAAATAATAATAATAAAATATACAGAGTGAAAATAAAATAAAAAATCAAGTAAATACTGTAAAATCAAAAACAATAAATAAACTAGTCAAACGCATGAATGATTGTGTGTTTGTATGGATGTTGTTCAAATGTAATCAAATTTGATCAATTTGCACTTCATTTTTACCATTATTCTGCATAATAAATGTGTGTTGTGTGTTGTGTGTGTGTGTGTGTGATAAAAAAAACACTGTCAACAGACAGAAAAAATAATTTTCTCCATGTTTTTAGGAATAAAATGTTATATAAATCAGTGATATATGAAGAAACCCTTCAGTAAAAACCTTCAGAATATAGAGAGGAATAAAACGGTTAAGTTTGGTGTATATAAGTGCTGCTGAAGTGGAGAACAAAACTTTTAAAGAAATGTATTGTAATGAGCATCAGATGCAAATGCTATGAAATAAACACTTAAATGTATGGTATGGAGCTTTTCTTTCCTCTAGTCTAAAAGACAACATGTTATTGAAGCAAACAAGCCCAAAATCTCAAAATTGACCAGTGCATGAAAAAAACAATAGTTTTGTCTGTAGTGTTTTTTTTTTTTTTGCACTTTGATTTACCCTTGTGTATAAAACTTTGCCTTACGATGCACTCTCAGCAGAAATGTTACTTTTTTTTTTTTCAATGGCTTTCAATCGCTTACAATCTGGAAGCATTCTCCACAAAGGCCTAAAACATAGCAAACACATTATGTTCTGGTTATATTAATGTTCAATACAAGTATCTATGTGCATCATCTGTGACATGGTAACATATTGTAATACTTTTAACTCGTGGCATGCAGCATATTCATTAGCTGGTTTTGTGTTTACAGGTGGTATTATGGGATATCTCCGCACATGTGGAGAGACTGCAGGACACACGCAGCGGCGGCAAAAACATTTCGAGCAAACTAGTGAGTCCACAACCAGTCATGTGACTCCTGATGATCTATTTAGAGGTCATTTAATTAAGTGACGCTTAACTGATACCTTATACAAACACACTTACACAATCACAGAACATTAAACCTGCTGTGTGTGTGTTTACGACTGTTTACTTTGTGTGTACTGCCATATTGTGTCCATATGTGAGCTAAACGTGACAAACCCTGTCTTTCATGACATCCTCAAATGTAAAAATTATATATAAATGAAGATTGTGCTAGTTTCTAGTCATTATTATTAGCTTTATGTAAAACAATCCTGGGTTATGGTTTTTGCTTATTCAGATACACTGTAAAAAATATTGCAGCTTTAATGGTAAAAAAAAAAGTAAAAGCCTGTTCATTGGTCACAGTAAGCTCTGTAATATATCTAATGGGAACTTTCATGTAGTTTTTGTTAAATGTGCAGTTTTTGGAAGTGAAAATGAAGTAATCTCATAATACACAGTTAATTTTTTTTAAAGATGGTTGTCAGGTCAAATATTTGGTACATTAGCATATTTCAGTTATTTAAATATGTTTTTTACTGCAGATTTAAGTTCTGTACATTTAAAATCCCCCCCATTTTTTTTATATTATAAAGGTAAAAAAATAGTATATTACCATAATTCAGTTAAATTTATATATATATATTTTTTTGTTTGTTTACATAATATATGTGTGTGTACTGTGTATATTTATTATGTATATATAAATACACACACATGCATGTATATATTTCAGAAAAATATGTTTATATATAAAATATATTTATTTATTTATAATATAAATATAGACATGTAAATATTTTCTAAATATATACTGTATGTGTGTGCATTTATATATGTATAATAAATATACACAGAACACACACATATATTTTGCAAATCAAAACTTTTATTTTGGATGCGATTTTTTTTTTTTTTTCTCCTGTAAAATTTACATTTTGTAAATTTAACAGATCATGGTAAAGTTCTGGCAAACACAGCTGCCAACTTTTTACTGTACATTTCACGGATCCCCCCCCACCTCCCTTTTTTATATTATAAAGGTAAATTATTTGTTATATTACCATATTTCATCTTATGAACTATTCTTTTTTTACTGTAAAATGTAAAATTAAACTGTAAAAATAAGTTCTGCCAACCACAGCTGCCAATTTTTACTATTATTATTCCTGTTATTCCAGGACAAAAACAGTGTGACTCCAGTGGTGCGGTACTGTGCTGTATCTGGGATAGAGAACGGACACAAAGCCCCGATCACAGACATTCAGTGGCTGTCAGAAACATTTGAGGTACACAAGAGGTTAACTGTCCTTTCTTAAAATATGAAGAAAAAAAATAAGTCACTGTACCTTTAAGAGTTTAACATTGAATTGAACTGGCCATGTACACACTGAAATATTAATCTTAATAATTTTTTCTTTCAGTTGTCCAAATTAGGGATCCCAGTGGAAAATCCGAGTGGTATTTCTGTTCAGCTGGTGACATGCGCTCCTGACTGGTATCTGCTGATATCTACACTATATGCACACATTCATTTTAATGTTCTAGTTTAGTATCAAACTCTCTCCTCACTGTGTGTGTATATATATATATATATATATATTTTAGCTGTGTGTTATTCTGGGACCTTCGGCCTCCTCGTGTTGTGTCTCAGTCCCTCACGGACGTGAAACAGAAATCGGAGGAAAAGCCTCTGGAAAACCCTCATGGCATTCCCAACACGTTCAAACACCTCAACCTGGCCTGGAAACCCTTTATCCGTGTATGTGGTGCATACAAACATGGTTTTAAGACATATAAATCTCTAGGGCTTTTCACACTGCACTAAACCTGGGTTAGCGTAGTTTTAAACAATGCATTTTAAACCTGGGAAATCATACGTTTCACAAACTTATACAGCGGCAAACTTGTACAACATGAAACAATAGCTGTCTCATTTAGAAGGCTGCGCCCTCCGGAGGTTGCATCGTCTGTAGGATGCCTATACGAAGTGTCCTCAACCTAGAATTAAACGAAGTGTCCTCAACCTAGAGTTAAACGAGACGGCCTTCGTAGGACGGGCGGAAAAGGAAACATGAAGTATCACGTTGCTATGCCAACACATTAAGAGCATCGTTGCGCTCTCACATTACTTAAATGAAGGAAAATTATTTCTAAATTTGGAAAGTAGTTTGAAAACAAAAAAGCTTTTACTTTTTTTTATTTTGTTCAATGTTTGAGGAGCTGCAGCGTACGTACAATACACCTCATGCATCCTCTGAATTCCTGTGAAAGAAGGTCGTATTCGAAGGTCGCATTCGGTGAAATGAGACAGCCTCGATGACGTATGCAGACTTCGACCTCCGGAGGGCGCAGACTTCTAAATGAGACACAGCTAATGTGGCATTACAACATTACGTCTAGATGCTTAGCAACCATAAATGTCAGAATTCTGAGAATAAGTCAGAATTGCAAGATGTAAAAATAGAATTCTGAAAGAAAAGTCAGACGTGCGAGATGTAAACTTAGAATTCTGAAAGAAAAGTCAGACGTGCGAGATGTAAACTTAGAATTCTGAGACAAAAGTCTATATTTCAAGATGTAAATTATGAGTTCTGGGAAAAAATATCGAAATTGCAAGATGTTAAAATAGACTACCAAAAGAAAAGTCAGAAGTGTGAGATGTAAACTTAGAATTCTGAGACAAAAAATTCAAAATTGCGAGATGTAAATTTTGAATTCTGAAAAAAAAAAAAAAAAATTGCAAGATGTAAAAATAGAATACCAACAGAAAAGTCAGAAGTGCGAGATGTAAACTTAGAATTCTTAGAAAAAAGTCCAAATTTCAAGATTTAAATTTGGAATTCTGGGGAAAAAAATTCAAAATTGCGAGATGTAGACGTAGAATTGAGAAAAAAAGTAAAAATTGAAAATGTAAACTTAGAATTCTAAGAATTCAGCATTTTGAGATATAAACTCGCAATTGTGAGAAAAAAGTCACAGTTACCTTTTTAATTTTATTTATTTGTATTCTGTAACGGAGTCAAGCTTCCATAAACAGGTTGCGTGCTGCGTTTGTCCAATCAATGACACTGACACCGCAAATATGCAAATAAGAACGTTTACCCAGGGTTTAGGAATGTACAGTGTGAAATGTAAGTTTATGAATAGGATTACCCAGGAATAATTGTTAACCTTGGGTAAATTATGGGCCACGTAAACCTTGACTGGATTCCATTTACCGCAGGTCTCCTTACCAAAGATTGGCTCTAGCGGTGAATACAGTCCTCTGAAGTTCAGCTTGAGGGACAATACAGTGGACTGTCCTACAGGTGAGACACCAGCACTGAAAGATACACATGTATTTGGCTTGGTGAGACCTGTTAAACACAAGGTTACCTGTGGCTGTGCAGTGATGATAATGCAGTCAGCATGACGCCTCTCTGTTAAATAAGCAGAGCTCTGAAATAGCATTCACTATCACAGCACTGCTCTACAAACACTGACTCTACTGACCATGAGGTCCAGCTGATGAAGAGTTTTGGCATCTACAGACTCCAGAATTCATTTCAATGCCAATGCTGGAGGATTTGAGAAAAAGTCCAGCATAAATATTTATTTTGCACAAATTTAATAATATTTATTTATTTATCATTCAAATTAATTATTAGGCTGTTTTCCCATTTTATATACTGTATATATATATTCTTTATTTTTTTTATTTGACCCTCTAACTCTAGCACTCTATTCTAATTCTATTCTTTAAAAAAAAAAAATTTTAGACTTGCACTCTATTCATTTACTAACTGCTTGTTTTCTTTAAAAAAACGAACACTAGCTCTCTATTCACTCTCTATTCTTTTCGTATTCTATTTGTTTTCTTTTATTTATTACACAATTAACAAAAAGCAAAAAAGGCCTCTAACACTAGCTTGCTCTATGCTTTTTCTGTTCTATCTGTTTTCTTTTTATTTATTATAGAATAAAAAAAAACCTTGCTATGTGTGCTGCGTTAAGCTAACTGAGACTTGTTTATAGCACTAGTATATCATTGCTCTCTTGTTGGTTTTGATTACTTCTATTGTCCTCATTTGTAAGTCACTTTGGATAAAAGCATCTGCTAAATGACTAAATAGTAATAAAAAAATATATATACAGTATACACAGCAAACACAGAGTTCTGGTGGAAAAAACCTTAATCATCATAAAAATGTCAAAATGAAAACAAGCACAATATTTAAAATAAATAAAGAATAAAATAAATAAATAACCAAAATATTAATTAAATATTTAATATTTAATAAATAAAGCGAAATAAAATATTTTGTCTTTATTTAAAAATCCAGTGTTTTATTTCCTGCACGTCATGTGACATTAACCGACATCAAAGAATCGTGAACATGCAAATGTTTTGTTAAATTACAGAAGTATTACCTTGGGCCACAAATAAAAATGTAACTCACAGCTGCATTAGAAGACATTACTGTGTGACTCCAAAAACTGATTCCGAGTGTTGATTTGGATCCTGGTTCGAGTTTCTCCTCGTATCCGTCTTCTCTTCAGGAGACAGACCTCCACAGAACGCGGATCGTGAGGAAGGCTGTGGGTTCGCGCAGCTCCGGGTGCCGTCGGCCAAACAGCAGAAACCTCTGGAGAACATCAGCACCAAGCTGTACGTGGGGACGGAGGTGAGACAAACATCTGTGCCTTTCACTGACAGAACATGTTCCATAGAACAGATTCCAGCTCTACTATCCCAATGCATGAGCCACATTCTTCTAACGCACATAAGCTGCTTGTAATGTCATTGATTTTGACGATTAGTCTATTAATAAATGCATTTTTGCATACTGTGCTTGCATCAGGATGGTGAACTCGTTTACACTGACTGGAAAATGGACAAGGACAACGACTCCGGACGTCTGCTGAGTAAGACACTAAAACAGCCGAACAACACGTTTTTACACATACACAGATTTGAATTCAAAGGTCATGAGTGATGGTTGAGATCTATCACTACTGTACTCTTGATCAAGAACCTGAACCTCCGGCTGCTCCCGGGGATCCCGGCCTGCAGAAAATGAAGACTAAATCATTTTGGATTTAAATCGTTTGCTTTGATTTAAAAAAATAAAATAAAAAATGTTTTCGTACAAATACATTATTTAGCAATTTTTCAATGATATACAGTGGGTACGGAAAGTATTCAGACCCTCTTAAATTTTTCACTCTTTGTTATATTGGAGCCATTTGCTAAAATCATTTAAGTTAATTTTTTTCCTCATTAATGTACACACAGCACCCCATATTGACAGAAAAACACAGAATTGTTGACATTTTTGCAGATTTATTAAAAAAGAAAAACTGAAATATCTAATTATATATAATTTTAAATAAAATTAATCAAAATTAAAATGACTACAAATATTAAATACTTTATCTGAAATAAGTTAGTTAAAATGAGTACTAAATCAAATACTACAAATATTAAATATTTCATTTAAAATAAATAAAAAAAATTTTTTTTTTTAATTATTTGAATGTTTTTTATGATTTAATTATTTATTTGCTTTTCAATAGGAAATCTGACAGTACACAAAATTTGATTTTTATCAATACATCTCATTATTGAAATATATTAATAAACAACATTTTCAATCGACTTTTTGCACTGATCTTGTCGCAGTGCATTCTGGGATTGCCTTCTTTGTAGGCTTCCACTGAAGGGACAATTCACCCAGAACGGATCATTATTTAATCATCCTCAAGTCCTTTCAAACCTGTGTGAGTTTCTTTCTTCTGTGGAACATAAAGAAGATATTTTAAGAAATGTCTCAGTGTTTTTGTCCAACCAGTGAAAGTCAGTGGGGTCCAATACTGTTTAGACCTGAACGCTCTTCAAAAAGAGAGAAAGTCACACAGGTTTGGATCAACATGATCATTTTTGGGTGAACTACCATTTGCAGAATGTGTGTTTTGGGCCTTATGGGGTTAATATGATTATGATATATCACAAAACCAGTCGTAAGGTCCTTTCATATGCGGAAAATTTCATATGCGTTTTTTCTGTTTTTTTTTTTTTTCATATTCGTCATCCTTTCCTATGGATGCGAAAACTCAGAAAATCGAACCTGGTCCATTTTTTTTCTTTATATGGACGAACGTTTCGGAGGCAGTGTGTAAATGTGATTGATACATTGTATGGGTCAAAATTATCAATTTTTCTTTTATGCCAAAAATCATTAGGATATTAAGTAAAGATCATGTTCCATGAAGATATTTTGTAAATTTCCTACCGTAAATATATCAAAACTTAATGTTTGATCAGTAATATGCATTGCTAAGAACTTCATTTGGACAACTTTAGATTTTAGATTTTTTTGCACCCTCAGTTTCCAGATTTTTAAATAGTTGTATCTCAGCCAAATATTGTCCGATCCTAACAAACCATACATCAATGGAAAGATTATTTATTCAGCTTTCAGATGATGTATACATCTCAATTTCAAAAACTGACCTTTATGACTGGTTTTGTGGTCACATATGTATTGTGCAGAAGTTGAGTTTTTGGCGTGTTTTCTGTCAGGCACTAAACCCATCCACCGGCTCCTCGTACACGACACTCTGGTGAACACCGTCAGCCGCTCTCCGTTCTTCAGGGACATCATCCTGACGGTCAGCAGCTTCAGCTTCGCCATCTGGAAGGAAGGGGTCACGGTGAGGTCACGACAGGATCACACGCTCAAACTCGAATCAGATGAAATCAAAGAAAAACACACCTGTGTTCTATAAAAACAAGAGTTACACTTTAATCAGCTGTTAAAGCTGAACTGATTCAGCTGTTTATATAGTCATGAAATTAGTATTATAATTAGTAGTAGCATTTTACTAGCAATACTCTTATAGACCCTTTAATATATCATCAATATTTTAGGTTCAATTGATATGAATTTACAAAAAAATGTTTAACGTTAAATACATTTTAGTTTCCATACAAAGGAATTATTTTGCTGTTTTCCCCATATATACATATAAAGAAAAAATGTCATCATCACAAAAATGTAAAATGAAAACAAATTATTCTAAAATAAAAAATAATCACTAAAAACTAAAAAGATTACATATTTTATTTTTATTAGTTTTTTTCCCGTATTTTTTAAAAAATAAAAACAAAATGAAACAATATGAAATATTTTTAAATAAATCAAAAAATTAAATAAATTCTTATCAAAATAAAACAGAAAATATAAATATGAAATAAAAAGCTATTTTTTTTCAAATAAAATTAATCAAAATGAAACAGAAAATAAAACAATATGAATTATTGTATTTGAAATAAAAATATTTTTCAAATAAAAACAATCAAAATAAAACGAAATAAAATATGAAATATTGTACTTGAAATAAATAAGTACTTATAAACTAAAAACAGATGATGAGATGTTGTATTTGAAACAAATTTAAAAATAATTTAAAAATAAAAACAATCAAAATAAAACACACACTAAAAACATTAAATATTTTGTTTAAAATAAATCAAAATATTTTAGTTTCATCGATATTCCAGGTTCAAATTCATATGAATTCTCTCCTTTTTTATATCACTTTTAATAACCGTTTTGCCTTCATTACGTCATTGACTTTTTTTTAATTTTCCTGTTATAACTGATCCTGTTATAAAACATAACCTTATGTGTGTTTGTAAATAAATAAATAAATAATTTTTAATGCACCTTACTTATAAGTTTGATCAGTAATATGCATTGCTAAGAACTTCATTTGGACAACTTTAGATTTTAGATTTTTTTGCACCCTCAGTTTCCAGATTTTTAAATAGTTGTATCTCAGCCAAATATTGTCCGATCCTAACAAACCATACATCAATGGAAAGATTATTTATTCAGCTTTCAGATGATGTATACATCTCAATTTCAAAAACTGACCTTTATGACTGGTTTTGTGGTCACATATGTATCGTGCAGAAGTTTTTGGCGTGTTTTCTGTCAGGCACTAAACCCATCCACCGGCTCCTCGTACACGACACTCTGGTGAACACCGTCAGCCGCTCTCCGTTCTTCAGGGACATCATCCTGACGGTCAGCAGCTTCAGCTTCGCCATCTGGAAGGAAGGGGTCACGGTGAGGTCACGACAGGATCACACGCTCAAACTCGAATCAGATGAAATCAAAGAAAAACACACCTGTGTTCTATAAAAACAAGAGTTACACTTTAATCAGCTGTTAAAGCTGAACTGATTCAGCTGTTTATATAGTCATGAAATTAGTATTATAATTAGTAGTAGCATTTTACTAGCAATACTCTTATAGACCCTTTAATATATCATCAATATTTTAGGTTCAATTGATATGAATTTACAAAAAAATGTTTAACGTTAAATACATTTTAGTTTCCATACAAAGGAATTATTTTGCTGTTTTCCCCATATATACATATAAAGAAAAAATGTCATCATCACAAAAATGTAAAATGAAAACAAATTATTCTAAAATAAAAAATAATCACTAAAAACTAAAAAGATTACATATTTTATTTTTATTAGTTTTTTTCCCGTATTTTTTAAAAAATAAAAACAAAATGAAACAATATGAAATATTTTTAAATAAATCAAAAAATTAAATAAATTCTTATCAAAATAAAACAGAAAATATAAATATGAAATAAAAAGCTATTTTTTTTCAAATAAAATTAATCAAAATGAAACAGAAAATAAAACAATATGAATTATTGTATTTGAAATAAAAATATTTTTCAAATAAAAACAATCAAAATAAAACGAAATAAAATATGAAATATTGTACTTGAAATAAATAAGTACTTATAAACTAAAAACAGATGATGAGATGTTGTATTTGAAACAAATTTAAAAATAATTTAAAAATAAAAACAATCAAAATAAAACACACACTAAAAACATTAAATATTTTGTTTAAAATAAATCAAAATATTTTAGTTTCATCGATATTCCAGGTTCAAATTCATATGAATTCTCTCCTTTTTTATATCACTTTTAATAACCGTTTTGCCTTCATTACGTCATTGACTTTTTTTTAATTTTCCTGTTATAACTGATCCTGTTATAAAACATAACCTTATGTGTGTTTGTAAATAAATAAATAAATAATTTTTAATGCACCTTACTTATAAGAGAATAAGTTAGGTACAGTTGAGCATGTGCGGTATGATTCTGTCTCACCTGGTTTTTCTTTTTTCCCCATTTCAGAGCGGCCCGATCCTCATGTCGGCCTGCTCCAAGATGCTGCGTACGGTGGGTCACTGGTCCCTGTCCCGGCCGGCGGTCTTCTTCATCGGGAAGGAGGACGGAAGCATCGAGGTATGGGACCTGCTGCAAAACAGCCACGAGCCCTCGCAGAGCCAGAACATCAGCAGCGCCGCCGTCACCTGCATCAGCACCAGCAGCATCTCCTGTAAGACAGACACCCGTCTGCTGACGTGAAGCGCAGGGGTCAGATGCTAACGCCTCCCGTTTCTCTCCACAGCCAAGCAGCATCTTCTGGCGGTTTCAGACCGTCTCGGGACGCTACACATCCTACAGATCCCCTGGACCCTGCGCAGATCCTCCAACAGCGAGGTGAGGACGTTACCTTCCTCAACTAAATCAGACTGTGACCCTGGAGCACAAAACCAGTCATAAGGGTCATTGTTTTGAAATTGAGATTTATACATCATCAATAAATGAGCTTTGCATTGATGTATGGTTTGTTAGGATCGGACAATATTTGGCTGAGATGCAACTATTTGAAAATCTGAGGGTGCAAAAAAATCAAAATATTGAGAAAATCATCTTTAAAGTTGTTCAAATGAAGTTCTTAGCAATGCATATTACTAATCAAACATTAAGTTTTGATATATTTATGGTAGCAAAATATCTTCATGGAACATGATCTTTACTATTCTAATGATTTTTGGCATAAAAGAAAAATTTATAATTTTGACCCACACAATGTATTGTTGGCTATTTCTACAAATATACCCCAGCGATTTATGACTGGTTTTGTGCTGCAGGGTCACATATAAGCTCTGTTCCAGTAACTACCTTCAGCTCTAGTGACTTTTAAAAAAAAATACTTCTCTGTACTGAATAAAATACATTTAGAATCAACACTTCCCACAATTTATCCATTCGGTTCATTGCAATGGCTTAAAATATATATTTAAAGGAATAGTTCACCCAAAAATGAACATTTTGCTGAAAATGTCCTTACCCTCAGACAATCCAAGATTATGATGAGTTTGTTTCTTCATCAGATTTGGAGAAATGTAGCATTGCGTCACTTGCTCACCAATGGATGTGAATGGGTGCCGTCAGAATGAGAGTCCAAACAGCTGATAAAAACATCACAATAATCCACAAGTAATCCACAGCACTCCAGTCCATCAGTTAACATCTGGAGAAGACAAAAGCTGAGACAAATCCAGCATTAAGATGTTTTTAACTCAAATACGAGTCCATAATCCATAATAAAAAGTGCATCTCCTGTTGTCTCTCACACCAAAATCCAGCCACATATATGTTTATAGAGTCATTTTGATCTTGTTTTGGCTTGTAAACAGTACTTGATCTGTGCAGATTTCTCTCCTGATTCAGACCAGACCACTTTTTCACTGTGGATTACTTGTGGATTGTGATGTTTTTATCAGCTGTTTGGACTCTCGTTCTGACGGCACCCATTCACATCCATTGGAGAGCAAGTGACGCAATGCTACATTTCTCCAAATCTGATGAAGAAACAAACTCATCCACATCTTGGATGACCTGAGGATGAGCAAATTCTCAGCTAATTTTAATTTTTGGCTGAACGATTGCGTTAATGCCCAAAATGAAGTATCTTATAAGGCAGCTGCATAATTTTGTCAGAACAGCCTGTAATCGTGACTATGATGCCTAAAAAAGCCGTCTAGGTAGGGCTTGGATCAAAGCGCGCATGTATAACAGCGCAGTATGTTTCCTGCAGAGGCAGATTGTGAAGAAGTACTTTGAGAAGGAAGAGGAACGGCTGGAGTATTTCGAGAAACGCCAGATCAAACACGAGAAGGAAAAGAAAGAGATGGAAGCCGAACAACAGAGGAAGAAGACGGTGAGAGAGGAAGCACTCGTTTAAAGGAACATTTACCAGGGTTATTATAGTTAACTAAAACCAAAACCATAAAAAAAAATAAAACTTTTAATTACTGGACTTAAAAAAATGTTGACTGAAATAAAATACAAAAAAAAATTCAGCTAGCTGTATATAAAAAAAATAGAAGTCTATGCAATGTCCCCATTTCGATAGCAGAGTAAATGTTTCTGTGTGAGTGTGTATATGTGAGTGTATGAGAGTGAGTGTGTGTATGTGAGTGTGTGAGAGTGTGTGTGTGTGTGTGTGAGAGTGTGTGTGTGAGTGTGTTTGTATGTGTGCGTGTATGTGTGTGTGTATGTGTGTGAGTGTGAGTCTGTGAGTGTGTGTGTGTGTGAGTCTGTGAGTGTGTTTGCATGTGTGTGTGTATGTGTGTTAAAAAAAAACTTTTAATTACTGGGTTTAAAAAAATGTTGACTGAAACAAAATGCAAAAAAAAAAAAATTCAGCTAGCTGTATATAAAAACAATAGAAGTCTATGCAATGTCCCCATTTCGATAGCAGAGTAAATGTTTCTGTGTGTGTGAGTGTGTATATGTGAGTGAGTGAGAGTGTGTTTGTTTGTGAGTCTGTGTGTGTGAGTGAATGTGAGTCTGTGTGTGTATGTGTGTGTGTGTGTGTGTGTGTGTGAGTGTGTTTGTATGTGTGTGTGTGTGAGTGAATGTGAGTGTGTGTGTGTGAGTGAATGTGTGTGTGTGTGTGTGTGTGTGTGTGAGTGTGTGCGAGTGTGTGTGTGTGTGTCTGTGTAAGCTGATGGCAAACACAGATGAAACCCGCAGCTGTAGTTGAGCTGGAATGTGTGTTTGAGTGATTCCAGATCCGCTCAGACTTGCTGAATATATATTTACTAAATATGAAAGTATGCTTGCGTCTGTCTCTCTGAGGGTCAGAAACACACTCGTTTGTGTTTCACACCCCACTGACGCCTGTGGACACATGCTGTGAGTCTGTGAGTGTGTTTGTATGTGAGTGTGTGTGTGTGTGTGTGTGAGTCTGTGAGTGTGTTTGCATGTGTGTATGTGTGTGAGTCTGTGAGTGTGAGTGAGTGTGAGTGTGAGTGTGAGTCTGTGAGTGTGTTTGTATGTGTGTGTGTGTGTGTATGCGTATGTGTGTGTGTGTGAGTGAATGTGAGTCTGTGTGTGTGTGAGTGTGAGTGTGTGCGAGTGTGTGTGTGTGTGTGTGTGAGAGTGTGTGTGGGTGTGTGTGTGTGTGTGTGAGAGTGTGTGTGGGTGTGTGTGTGTGTGTGTGAGAGTGTGTGTGGGTGTGTGTGTGTGTGTGTGAGAGTGTGTGTGGGTGTGTGTGTGTGTGTGTGAGAGTGTGTGTGGGTGTGTGTGTGTGTGTGTGAGAGTGTGTGTGTGTGAGTGAATGTGAGTCTGTGTGTGTGTGAGTGTGAGTGTGTGCGAGTGTGTGTGTGTGTGTGTGTGTGTGTCTGTGTAAGCTGATGGCAAACACAGATGAAACCCGCAGCTGTAGTTGAGCTGGAATGTGTGTTTGAGTGATTCCAGATCCGCTCAGACTTGCTGAATGTATATTTACTAAATATGAAAGTATGCTTGCGTCTGTCTCTCTGAGGGTCAGAAACACACTCGTTTGTGTTTCACACCCCACTGACGCCTGTGGACACATGCTGCTGGAGGCTTTCTGGAGGGATTTCAAGACAAACACTTAATGTTTCTGACACTGCAGGCAAGACCAGTGTTTTTCATGCACTGGTCAATTTTGCGATTTTGGGTTATTTGGCTTTTCATGTTATTTCAGACTAGAGAAAAGAAAACATCTAAAATGCATATTTGTGTTTATTGTATTACACTAGATCCATTTGCGTCTGTAAATGTCAGTCAGTTTTTTCTCCACTTCAGTATGTCAACAAAATCAAACCAAAAAAATTTAACCTGGCTTTATCCAATGTGCAGATTTATCTTCTGGAAGTTTATGCAAATAAGTGCATATTTAATAAGATAATCCATAATTTGCATATTTAAACATACTATTTCAGAAAAATTGTAATATAAATACAAAACTTGTAATACACTGTAAAAAGTGATGTTCTTTCTAAGTATTTTTGTCTTGTGTTTCAGTACAAATATCTAAACAGAAAATCAAGATGCATTTACTTGAGAAGCAAAACATTAATAACATATTAAGCCTTTTTCTGAAAAAGTTTATCAAAATGAAGGGAGTTTATGCTTAAAACAAGAAAAATATTAATTATCAGATTATTTATCTGAACCTTATTGGCAGATATCTTGTTTTAAGCACTCAATATATTTAAATAAATTAAAAAATGAAATAAATACTTCTCAAAATAAAACAGAAAATATTTTATATTTAAAAAAAATAAAATCAATCAAAATGAAAAATTTTTTTTTTTTTAAATATTGTATTTGAAATCAACAAAAAATAAATAAACTAAAAACAATCAAAATAAAACAATATGAGATGTTGTATTTGAAACAAATTAAAAATACTTAAAACAAACTTAAAACCAATTAAAAAGTTTTATTTAAAATAAATTAAAATATTATAACAAGATATTAAGCCTTTTTTCTGAAAATGTTTATCAAAATGAAGGGAGTTTATGCTTAAAACAAGAAAAAATTAATTTTTATCAGATTTTTTTATTGGCGGATATCTTGTTTTAAGCACTCAAGACTTAATCTTGTGTCATTGTGTTTCTCAAATAAACATATCCTGATTTAAGAATGTTAAAACATTTGTTGTGGAAAACGAGACAAAAATACTGCGTAAGATTACTTAATTTGTTTTGGTAGTGTGCACTTGATTGGACTGGTTTTGGACTGCTCTTGGACTCAATACGCCTGCTGACGCTTTGGTCCATATCAATCACTGTAGTTGCAAATGCCTTTGAACTTTTGTGTTTGATCACTTGTGCGGTTTGTTGTTCATCAGGAGCCGGCGATGCCACTGAAACAGGAAGAGGAACTGGAGGCAGAAGCGCTGAAGGAATACCAACAGTTTCTGGATCTGGAGAAGGTCATTTTGAAGAACATGGGCCTCCTGACCGAGACAGAGGACAGATCAGACCTGTAAGACATTAGAAACATCATCATTACACTCTAGAACCACCAAGAATCTAGCACTTACCAGATGACCTAATAACAAGAGTTCTGCTGATTGTGCCATTAACACTGGAAGCTTAATTCAGTTCAGTTCTTGGGGTGGAAAAAAGTCATTCTGATTAGAATGATGTGAAAACATCGTTATTCATCGTAAACTTTTCAATGGAATGGAAATGGAATTTCTTACAGTGTTTGGAACAACATTCCTAAACTACTATTAATTTGAATCCGATTTAAACTTGATTCGATTCTTATTGATTAGTTCCAAATTATAATGGAAATTTCTTTAGCAAAGCACGAGAATTCCTTTGGTTTTTGAATGCAACTTTATTGTTGTGTATCGTAAGCACTTTGAATGTAAAACATTAAAACCCCATTTTCTTAAGCAGGGCAGAGAGGGTGTTTTGTTCTTGTAAGCTTATGCGCTCTGACCTTGAAGATTGATTCTTCCTCCGGTTACTGGTCTGAGTTCATCTTCGTAATCAAACACCTCCGACAGCTTATCTGCTTTCATACGGACACATCCAGCCACTAATGTACAGTATTGATCAAGTTCAGCCCGGCTCATATTGATTCAATAGATAGGCTACTAAACTTCCTTTTTAAGCAGCATACGTGATAAGAATTCACACGCAAAGCAGGTTTGGTCGACATATAGAAGACTTTCAAGTCTACTTTATAAAATGCATTTCTATGGAGCATAGAAAGGTTTTTTTTTTAGCAAACCCTAGAATAATTAATGAATGTGAATTTCATGTGTGCACTGAATTGATTGCTGTTTATTGTCTACCATTTAAAAACATAGTCCTGATGAAACACGAGAAGAGCATATTTCTGTGTAAATCGACTATGTTCTTGCATAAATTATCCAATTGAATCAAATACAATGATTTGATTTTACATAATTTATACAGAAATGTAATTCCGAAATACCTTCAAATTCAGAATTGCAAGATATAAACTCACAATTCTGAGTAAAAAAAGGGTCAATTATGAGCTATAAACATAAAATAGCAAAACATAAATTCTTCAAAGTTTTCATCTTACAATTCTGAGAAAAAAGTCATAATTGCAAGATACAACAATTTAGATTTTTAGCAATTCTGAGAAAAAAAGTTTCTCACCAAAAAAGTGAATTATTTTTCTCAGAATTCTGAATTGCTCTCTCACAGTTCTGACTTTTCTTTGAATTCTGAGTTCACAACTCACAATTCTGAGTTTATATCTTTATAATTCTGAAAATTGTGAGATGTAAACGTCATAAGCACCATAAGTGAGATATAAATTCACAATTCTGACATCTCACAATTTTGCACGTTTATCTCACAATTCTAAACTTTTTCTCGCAATTTTAAGTTTCTTGTTACTCTGAGGAAAAAAAAAAGTCAATAACTTTGAGATATGAACTTAGAACTGCAACAAAAATATCTAAGTTGTAAGAAAAAAAGTTGCAATTAGCTTTTTATTCTGTGGCAGAAAAAAGCTTCAATGTCTCAAAACGTAGTACAGTACAACTTTACTGTTGCATTATATTGCATGAAAATCACAGCTGACGTCATTTATATTTCATTCGCACACTGAAAATTAAGGTGAAATTGAGTGCATTGATTTATGGGATATTGTTTTTTTCATATTCTGCACATATTGGCATTGTCTTCATATATTTAAGATGATTAGTGTGCAATAACCCTAATTCACAAACTCAAGTTAATCTTGCATTTTGTGTGTCTGTTGCATGAAGCCACACGTCTTCATGAACCAAACAATCATATCTTCTGTTCTGCCTCTGTAACTCTCATTATCCAGCTGCATTACACGTCTATCTCAGCGTTGTCTTTCTTTAATCTGTTCCTGTTGGGCAAACAAAGGCAGTTTTGAGTAAATCTGGCCGTGTTTCAGTAATGATAAAGCTTTTTTCTCCTTTAAGCTCCATCTGATAGATGTGTAATTTTACAGCCATTTATGAGCGTGAGCTGCAGAAGTCTGCAGATGTTTAGGTATAAATGCTAAACGTACGATGACAGCAACTGCACGATCACCTCTATGAAGCGCCGGCCAATCAAAGGTCATCTCTTCCAGGCAGCCAATCAGAAGGCTCTGCTTGACATCAAAGAGTCTTTGGGACGTGACTGGACCAATCACACGTCTGAACTGCAGCCAAACGCTGACAGATGCTCTGGATGTTTATCACAGAGAGCAGGTGTCGCTGAAGAGGAGAAATCATTTACCCAGCATACCTGCAGGATGTAGAGGACGGAGGGACAACAGGCCAGTAATCTCACATGTGTCTCCTCATGGGTTTCAGAAAAGATCTTGACAATGTCTCAGTGATGGAAGCCTGTTTACACCCACAGGGTTAAAAAAAAAGTCTAAATTATTTTTCTCACAATTCTGAGTTTATATCTCCCAATCTGAGAAAAATGGCAAGATATAAAGTTGGAATTGTGATTCCAATTGTGGAATTGTGTTAGATTTTCTATTCCGTCGTGGAAACAAAAAGTCAGAATTGTGTGATTTTCTATTCCGTCGCGGAAACAAAAGGTCAGAATTGTGAGATTTTCCATTCCGTTGCGGAAACAAAAAGTCAGAATTGCCAGATTTTCTATTCCGTCGCGGAAACAAAAGGTCAGAATTGTGAGATTTTCCATTCCGTTGCGGAAACAAAAAGTCAGAATTGCCAGATTTTCTATTCCGTCGCGGAAACAAAAAGTCAGAATTGTGTGATTTTCTATTCCGTCGCGGAAAAAAAAAGTCAGAATTGTGTGATTTTCTATTCCGTCGCGGAAACAAAAAGTCAGAATTGTGTGATTTTCCATTCCGTTGCGGAAACAAAAAGTCAGAATTGCCAGATTTTCTATTCCGTCGCGGAAACAAAAAGTCAGAATTGTGAGATTTTCTATTCCGTTGCGGAAACAAAAAGTGAGAATTGTTGAATTGCATGACGAAACAAAAAGTCTATACTTCTACAAGTATTCTCAGACTTTTGGTCTTTTTTTTTTAATATACGTGAACTCACTTGATATATCAGACTGATGTTGATTCATCCGTGGTCACATGACATGACAGCTCGCCAGCTCATGTTCCAGTGACAAATTACAGGAACGTTTGGAAACGAAACGTGAATCTGTGGTGGACAAGCGTGACTCATTGTAGCCGACGCTGACCTTCGATTCACATGACCATCTGCAGAAATAAGCAGCTAAATATAGCCAGACATTTCAAGAAGAACAGTCGAGTCGTCAGGGCTGCATGAAACAAACTTTAATGTGATCATATACTTCTCAATATCAGTACAAAGAATATCTGCTTTAGTCGTACGTTCATTTAAGCACAACCAAACTTTTACAAAAACCACAGCAGAGACAAAGGAGAAAAACGGGGGAATGTTTATCAAAGCAGCTCACAAGTTTCCTTCTTGCTGACCGTAGATCAGTCGCTGTACGACAGGAATCTGATCTCAAATCAGATTTTAAGAAACCAGGTCAAACACTCCAAAGGTGCGGTCACACTAGATTCACATCAATACACATTTAAAAACATGCATACTGAAATCTACAAACTGGAATAGTTAATATCCTAAATGTATTATTATTATTCATAATGCATTCAAATGAGAAGTCTGTATGGTATGCATGACGTCATATCCTGCTGCCTATATATATATATATACTGTATATATAGCAAAAAAGAATGCAAAAAAAAAGATAATACTTTTGCATACTTAAAATCAAGTGTGACCGTCCCAACTGAGAAGAAACAAACCTCCAGACAATTGGTTTTAATTGGTTTATCTCCTTTAACCCATATTATTATATTGGTCTCTACGTTCTATTTGCTGTGTAATAAGTCCTTTATTTAGATATTTTAAAATGAGATTTTCTACCAAAGACTGTAGCATTGTCAGGCGAGAAGCACAATCAGAAAACAAACCGCTCGGGTAAAGATTCAGTCTTTCTTTCACAAGACCTGCAAATTTACAACCGAGCCATAAACGTGAGCAGCTGCCAAATGGAGGAAAAACAGAATTTCACTGTAATTAAAATAATCTCTATCTACACGCATAAATACATCCCGCTGTAGGAGACACTGAGAAACACTTAATTTTTGACCGTAAAGCTTTTGACCATGCAATGCTCAAATTTCCTGCACTTTCGTGACCACAAAATACCCAGAATCCCTCGTAGTTCTGACTGTGGGTTATATCATTACATAGATCCAACAAAAAAAAAATATATATTTATTTAAGGCTGATCTACAGGCCAAATACTACAACGTAGCTGATGAACATTTAAATATGCATAAACTGAAGTGTACATCATGGAAAATAAGTTTTCTGACTATATTCATACAAACATACATGTGTCTGTCAAATACTGATGAGTTTGTATCCCTGGACTGCTGAGTGTTGTCATGGTGTCATCATGTTACCATTTTTTTAAAAAGTGAAATTATATCCATTCAGTATGTTTTTAGGGAACACCCATCAAAAGCAAAATAAACGTCAGCAATTTTAAATTACTTTTTAAAATTTATTCTCAAAAACTTACATTAAAGTTCTAACTATTTTTAAATATTTATTTTACTACTTACTACAATCATATTCATGTTCAGCTGTCCATAGCTTGTTTAGGGGGACGTTTGAAGTATTTTTACAAGGAAAAAACTCAAACAGTCGCTGTTTTAATCTCATACGATCACAACCTCAACTAGACCAGCAGCGTTTAGTCGCTCCCTGAATGGAAAGGGTGTTGGGTGTTCGATACTGCTCTTGGAGAACCACCTTCATGCAAAGTTTATCGTCAACACATTTGCCTGAATGTTAAAAGATAGTAGTTAAAGACTATGATTAGAGTTGGAGCTGTATGTGGCCTTCCAGGAACAGGACTGAACATCCCTTGTTTAAGGTGTAAGGGTTAAGATAGGGTTAGGGTTAGGATACGACATTCAAAGTTTAGGGAGCAAGGAACAAGGACCTCAAACTATTGGCTAACACCACTTCACTAGGTAATTTGCATTCGAGGCCCCTGATGTAGGGTTCAGGGTTGTAGGGTTGGGGTTAGGGTACTTAATCCTGCTCCTGGTGATCTACCTTCCATCCTCTTTAACTGAAGCTCAAGACCTTAATTAGTTGGTGTGGAGTGTGTTTGGAGGTAACAGGAAGCTGGATCTCCAGGAGTAGGAACAAACCCCCTGGGGTAAGGGTGTAAGGTTTAGGATAGGGTTAGGCTATAACATTCAGAGTTTAGGGAGAAGGGTGCAGGGATCTCAAACTACCGGATAATGATGTAGATTTTAGGGTAGTTGGGTTGGGGTGTTCAATTCTGCTTCTGGTGATCCACCCTCCTGTTTAAGTGAACCCCAAGACCTTGATTAGCTGGTTCAAGTGTGTTTGGAGGCTACGGGAAGCCAGATTTCCAGGAGCAGGAACAAACCGTCGGTAAGGGTTAAGGTTTAGGATTGAGTTACGCTATAATATTCAAAGTTTAGGGAGCAGGGTGCAGGGATCTCAAACTACTGGCTAACACCACCTGACTAGGTCATTTGTGTTCGAAACTGCTGATGTAGGGTTCAGGGTCATAGGGTTGGGGTTAGGGTAATTAATCCTACTTCTGGTGATCTACCCTCCTCCTCCTCTTTAAGTGAAGCTCAAGACTTTAATTAGCTGGTTCAAATGTGATTGGAGGGAACTGAACACTACAGTAAGCTGGATCTCCAGGAGCAGTAACAAACACCCCTGGTTAGGGTGTGAGGTTTAGGATAGGGTTAAGATATAGGGAGAAGGGTGCAGGGATCTCAAACTAACGGATTATGATGTCGATTTTAGGGTTGTTTGGTTGGGATGCTCAGTTCCACTCTTGGTGATCCACCCTCCTCTTTAAGTGAATTCCAAGACCTTAATTAGCTGGTTCAAGTGTGATTGGAGGGAACTGAACACTACAGTAAGCTGGATCTCCAGGAACAGGACCAAACACCCCTGGTTAGGGTGTGAGGTTTAGGATAGGGTTAAGATATAGGGAGAAGGGTGCAGGGATCTCAAACTACCGGATTATGATGTCGATTTTAGGGTTGTTTGGTTGGGGTGCTCAGTTCCACTCTTGATGATCCACCCTCCTCTTTAAGTGAATTCCAAGACCTTAATTAGCTAGTTTAAGTGTGTTTGGACATTACAGGAAGCTGGATCTGCAGGAGCAGGAATGAACCCCTGGTAAGGGTGTAAAGTTTAGGTTAGGTTTAGGCTATAACATTCAGAGTTTAGGGAGCACTTTGCAAGAATTTTAAACTACCGGCTAACATCACCTCACTAGGTAATTTGATTAGCTGGTTCAAGTGTGTTTAAAGGGTTGGAACTGAAGACTTACAGGAAGCTGGATCTCCAGGAGCAGGAACAAACACCCCTGGTTAGGCTGTAAGGTTTAGGATAGGGTTAAGATATAATGTTGAAAGTTTAGGGAGTAGGATGCAGGGATCCTAAACTACCAACTAAGACCACCTCACTAGGTAATTTGCATTCAAGACCCCTAATGTAGTGTTCAGGGTCAGGTGCTCAATTCCATTCTTTGTGATCTACCTCCTCTTTAAGTGAACCTAAAGACCTTGATTAGTTGGATTAAGTATGTTTAATTAGAGCTGGAGATTAAGCTGGCTTTCCAGGAGCAGGACTGGACACCCCTTATTTAGGGTGTAAGGGTCAGGATAGGATTAAGGTTAGGATATAACATTCAGAGTTTAGAGAGTAGGGTGCAGGGATCTCAAACAACCATCTAACACCACCTCCACAATAGGTAATTTGCGTTCGAGATCCCTGATGTAGGGTTTGGGGTTTTAGGGTTGGGATTAGGGTTAGGGCAGGGAATTCAATATCTCCATGAGAAGGACTGAGTACCCCTGGGTTAGGGATGTATCTGTAGTACCTAGTTCTCCCACCATAAGGCTTCACACCTGTACCTGAACTGGCCGTGCATTTAACAGTAGGCCCCATAAGTGCATTGGTTTTCATCATAATGTTTTGTACCTCCGTAGAAAGTAAAAAGCTCTTGCTGTCGTAAGCACCACCTTAACACAATGAAGGCACCTGGTGCACCCCTCAGGGTTCAATGAGTTCTTCTCATAAGAAGAAAATCAATGACGAGATCAACAACATGGAGACCAGGAGACAAACAAAAACACAAATCAGAAGTGAGGAATGTCTTCTTGTACATGCATCCCAAGTGTGCATGGGAGCAAGAACGTTCCACGGCGCTGATGTCTTTAGGGAATCACCACCATATTTTGTCTGTCCTTGTAAAGAGTCAGTACCCTATGTTGAGTTTATTCTTGTTGAGCTCCCTCTCCAGATTGCCGATTAGAATGTCAATGCTCTCCTGCAGGTCCCGCAGGTTGACCCTGTTGCTTAGGACTGGGCTGATCTCCTGGATCTTCATGTAGGCCTGGTAGGTGTGCTCTTTGGGTCGGTGCTCTGGGAGGATCTGATCGTAGGGGCTTGTGGGAAGAGTTTCCTCCAATTGTAGCTTGTCCAAAACTACTGTATTCTCTTCCTCACTCACTTCCTCTTCCTCCTCTATCTGCATTTCCTCAACCCTCTCCACTGCCTGGTCCAACTCAGACAATTCTTGTTCGGAGACTACATCTCCAGTACCCTTCGATAAGTCCTCCTGTTCTGCGTTTGGAGGTTCTTCGCTGGGAACGTCGTCATAGTCTGCCTCCTCTGGGCAGCACGGTTGGAGGTACGTTTCCCGGCATCTGCTCCAGTCCCCGGCATAGCGGTTACTGGGACTGTCCAGACGGCCAGCTCTGGGCCGCAAAACGCCTGCCATGTCCACCTCGGTTAGATTTAGCACCTGTGGACGCTCTTTCCTCCTCCTTACGGCAGCCGTCACTGCGGGAAGCGACTCCACCGAGGCAGGAACCGGAGATTTACCCTGAGCATCCACAACTGTGAAAAAAGACAACAAACAATGTGTTTTATCCTTTGATTATAAATTATCAACACGTTTCAGATAATGAGAGTATGTATAGAATAACCAATGTTGGGGAAAGTACTTTGAAACTGGCCAAGATAAAAGTAACTCAAATTTGAAAATGGTAATGGCTACTAACAAAAAGCATCTTACTACAGTGAAGCAAGTACAGGAGGTAATATTTTTGTATACATATGATATAAAATATTTTATAATTTTAGTTACTCCCCAAAACTGGCAATACTATATGAGGTTTTATTATGAAAAACTCAAAGCATGCAGAACAAATGAGATACATGCCTCAAAACCTCAAACAAACTCAAAAGATCCTAACTACTGACACCAACCCAAATTGGCTAAACCTCAAATACTTTGTTGAACTTGGACAAACTTGGCCCTACAAACCCTCCAAACTTGCCACAAAAGTCGTAAACCTGGTAGATCTGGTGAAGGACAGGAAAGCAGCAGAACGGTGGGAAGCTATCAGTATTTTTTTAGCTTCTATTTGAACAAATCTGCGTGCTAGCAAGATATTGAGGTAGTGTCATGAAGGGCTAGCGGAGGACACACAAAGCACACCCATTTAATCTAGTTTACCTGTCACGATCTGCCCTCTAAACCCTCTGAGGATTTTAGCAGTGGCCTACATGTGACGGGACAAGTAAAATAAACAAGCACAAATAAATATACAAAATACAACTAAGTACTATAGAATTAGATTTGTAGCTCGTAGACCTAACGCATTGTTATTTTTACAATAAGAGTACTTAAAGAATGTTAAAGCAGGCTTAAGGCTAGAATTTCTATGTACACATAACCAGTAAAGCTGGTTTTAACTTAGTTAACTTAGCTTAGTTAATCACCTGACATTATTTGCAGTAGTTAATCAATGCTAAGTTCTGTTTAAAATAGAAAGGCCTGCTTTAGAAACAGTGTTTTTGATCATTAAAATGATTTAAATAAATTGAATTTTTAAAAATAAAAAACAAGTAAAACTTGTTTTAAAATTTTTAAGATATAATTTAAGATATATTTAAGATTTAATTTAAGATATATTCTCTGACATATTCTCTTAAATTTAAAATTTAGACTTGATGTTCAGAGGTTTTTACTGAAAACCAAAACGTATATATTAACAAAAAAACAAACAAAAAAAATTACATTTAATTAAATAAACAAATTAAAAGATTGAAATGAGTAAACCTTAAATTTAAGATAAATTTAAGTTATATTCTATTGAATATTTTCTTAAAGTTTAGACTTGATATTCAGATATTTTTACTGGAAAACAACAACAACAAAAAAATTAAAACAGATTAAAATACACTTAAATACATTAAAGACATATTCTCTTAAAGTTTAGACTTGATGTACAGATATTTTACTGGAAAACGACACAAAAACTATTTTTTTCCCCCAGAATTTTTCTTATTATCATGGTACATTGCCTAAAAACATGGTATTGATGGCTTGAGTTAATGCAACTCTGATAAAAAAATACCCTGCAGAAATCTTTATATGTGCACATAATTCAAGAAAACAACAAACACAGACACTAAAGAATATGCATCAATATATCATGTGCCCATGTTGAGACACACACAGCTTGACACACAAGCAGACAAAAAGACAGCCGTCCCAGAGCAGGACGAGGGCAGCTGGCCTCATGGGAGTTTCTCCACGCCTAACGGAGGCTCTTTTGCAGCGAGAGGCCCCGCTAAACGGGCCGATTGTTCTGAGGGTGAGGCGGGCGGGTCGGCCGGAGTTGAAGGTTAAGACAGGAATGCACGTAATTACAGACTGAGGTTTACTGTACTGTTCCTGCGTGCTGGAGGAAGTCAGCGGGGAAGAAATCTGTCTGAAACCACGGCCTGTGGCGAGACGCGTCAGGATGGGCAGCAAGAGTGAGAGATTAAAGCCCAACACGAGCTTTATGAGACGACCCCGAGACTTAAAGCAACAGCTCACCTAAACATGACACACTTGTGTTGTTTTAAAAGCCATATGACTTTCTTTCTTTTGTGTGTTTTGGAGAAATGTACCACACAGGGTCCAAACTCTTGCAAAAACTACCTGCAAATACCTGTGTATTATTTCATTTAAAAACAGGCAGATACTACTAGCACTATTGAGAACTAAATGATGATTAAAGGAATGTAATAGCAATTATCCACACTGTTTTCAATGATAATGGTAATAATACTTATGATAAATAATTGTACTTTATTAAATTATCCAAATTAAACAAATGAATAAATCATATATTATTACAGCAATAATACTATTTTACTGTAAAAAATATTATAGTATTAAATTATATAGTACTAAAACTACAATAATAATAACAATACTAATACCACTACTTAGGACTGAATGGTAATGAAAGGAATGTAAAAGCAATTTTTATGTTATCCACACTGTTTTTAATACTAATAATAATAATAATTATTATTATTATAAATTATTTTATTTTATTAAATTATCTAAATTAAACAAATGTATAAAGAATATATTACACTGAACAAAATTATAAACGCAACACTTTTGTTTTTGGCCCCATTTGTCATGAGCTGAACTCAAAGATCTAAGACTTTTTCTATGTACACAAAAGGCCTATTTCTCTCAAATATTGTTCACAAATCTGTCTAAATCTGTGTTAGTGAGCACTTCTCCTTTGCCGAGATAATCCATCCACCTCACAGGTGTGGCATATCAAGATGCTGATTAGACAGCGTGATTATTGCACAGGTGTGCCTTAGGCTGGCCACAATAAAAGGCCACTCTAAAATGTGCAGTTTTATCACACAGCACAATGCCACAGATGTCTCAAGTTTTGAGAGAGCGTGCAATTGCTGACTGCAGGAATGTCCACCAGAGCTGTTGCCCGTGAATTGAATGTTAATTTCTCTACCATAAGCCGTCTCCAAAGGCGTTTCAGAGAATTTGGCAGTACATCCAACCGGCCGTAGACCACGTGTAACCACACCAGCCCAAGACCTCCACATCCAGCATCTTCACCTCCAAGATCATCTGAGACCAGCCACCCGGACAGCTGCTGCAACAATCAGTTTGCATAACCAAAGAATTTCTGCACAAACTGTCTCAGGGAAGCTCATCTGCATGCTCATCGTCCTCATCGGGGTCT